GAGTATTAACAGCAGAACAATATTCTAAAAAAGATCTCAAAGTTATTTTTGATAACTTCAAAGCATTTCATAGAGAAGTAATCCACAAACACATATTAACTACAGCAAGAAAAGCATTTGCAGAATTATTAGAAAAAGAAACTGAATTAACTGGACCAGAAGTTCAAACTTTCTTATATCAAATTCAACAAGATATTAACCAATTCCATCAACAAAGAGAAGAACACTTGAGGAAAGTAGAACAACAAAGAAAAATAATAGTAAAAACCTCCAGTCTAAGAGAATTATCTACTAAAGAAGAACATAGAGAGTTTATTAAAACTGTCAAAAATTTTAACTTGAAAGAATTCAACAAAGTGAATATCATTTCAAAATACTTTGGTCGAGTAATCAAACAAATCAGTCAACCACCAGCATCATTATCCAATACTAAACAAAAAGAAAGAATACCAGTAATTATTCAAACTCAAGAAACACAACAAAAATTAGAAAATGAAGAAATTCTAGAAGAAGAAGATCAAGAAAAAATCAACCAGAAAGAAATGACAGATGAAATTGCTAAACAATTTGAACACTTAATTACTGGATTGAATGTCTTGATACATGTTATAGGACAAGGCAATAAAGAAACCAAATATACAAAAATAGCTGATTTCTATGGAGACACTCAAGATTCAATTGAATGGTTACAAGATTTTGAAAATGCATGCCAAGCCAATGCAAATAGTTGGAGCTTACTTAAAAGGAGCTGCTACCACTTGGCTCACCAACAAAAGAATACTTGCAAATTGGTCCACACAATGGAATCCAGCTGATCAAAATATTAATAGTTTACTTGCTTCATTCACACATCAATTCAAATTGCAATTTAGAACTTAAGATAGAGTTTATGAATGGCAAAAGCAATTAAAAGAAAGAAAACAATTACCTGGTGAAAGTGTAAAACAATATGCTGCTGCTATAAGAAAACTCTTATGCTGAGTAAATCCTAACAATAATTATCCAATTTATCTACAAGTATCACAATTTATAGATGAATTTAGATCAGAAATTCGTTTCTTTATTAATCCAACAAGATCTGCAACTTTGGAAGATGTTATTAATACAGCTCAACTCCACAACACAAATTTTCAACAATATACTCAAATGAATACTATATCTCAATATAATATATCAACTGCACCAAGTCTTATAACAATTCTATTCTTATCACAAGCACAAACTGAGAATGAAATTAGCAAATTGACTAAACAATTGAAAAAACTAAAAATTCAATTAAAAAAAAGAAATTCCAATTCCAACAATTCTAATAATAATCAAAGTAATTATAGAAAAAATAACAACAACAACAATACCAATAATGATAGGTGACCAATAGAATATTATAATTGTGAAAAAATTGGTCACTTCAAGAAAGATTGTTGATCCAAAAGAATTGATAGTTCTAATAGAAATAATTATAATCAAAATAATTATAACCGAAATAATAATAATAACCATAACAATATTATCACAACAAATTATAAACTGCTATTAAATTAGTAAGTATAATTTAAATTTGAATTAATTTCAAATGCTAAACAAGTATAATCAGATCATAATGAGCAGCCACATTAAGGTTAGTAAGGGTATCACACATTCTATCCGAAATGTGTCGCAGAAGGGAACTTTTGGGAATGAATTCGCTTCTGGTTCCATGCAGAAGTTAGCTATTAAATACGTGTCGTCTGCACTTAAAGTGCCTTATTTCTTAAATGAAACAGACGAAGAATGTATTCGTCAAGCCATTCCGCATCGGTTGATCATATTCGATGATGAGAATGCAAAAGATGTCGCTCATGGACATCTAAAATTTTTAGCTGAGTACGTGGCTAAAAGTGTCAAATTAATGAATTTTTCTGGTCAGGATGTTAAGCTGATAGGACCAAAGTTCGATAAAGAGGAAGTAGATTGTTTTAAAACAGCTAGATCAATACATTACTGTACAAAGTCCCCAGTACGTTTAGACGAGGTGCGGCGATTATCGTCTTCGCGTGCAATCCAATTAAAGCTTAAATGTATGAAAAGAGAGTTGGGTTCGATGATGGTAGAGTACACAGCGATTGTCAAGAAAATTCTTGATAATCCGACGGCAGGTGGAGCTGATAAATTAGTGCAGAGAAGGAAGATATTAGACGTAGAGATTGCAGAGAAAGAATATGAAGTTTCGGATCTCGAGACTTCTTTTAAAACCATTAATTCACAAGAACCTGTAGAAGTTTTAAAATGCTGCAACGTTGGCGTAGAGAATTGTAACGTTAATGCAGATGTGATGGTTGCATTTGATTCACTATACGATGTAGACTTACAACAACTTATAGTAAAAGCAGAAAAGCTGAATGTCTCCGAAATATATGCGACTATAATCTTACCTTTTGGTTTGCTGTACGTCGATAGGTATTATTCAGAAGAACTCAATGTAACCTTTATCAAACATGGTGACGGATTCCTCATGGTGCATGGTCAGGATATGTCGAACGGCTATGTACATGAATATTCAGTTTCGGTGATGAGACTGATGGAAAACTCTTTTATTAAACCAGCGGATGGAAATCGCGAACATATTTGGACGTATGAAATCATAAAGGACGTGGCTGAAATTTGCTTATTAAGATTCTACAGGGCAAAAGAAACAAAAAGGGTGGTACGGAAGAAATTGCCATCCAAATTTGATAAATATACCATTATTATGCATCCTGTTGAATACTTTTCGAGAATTCCAAGAAGACCGATCATGGTCCCCACTCAGAAGTTGAACGTTGCTGTATCACGTGTTAAACGTGAGAAAAATATGAAAACCATTGTGGAAGACCTTTATGCATACGTGCAATGTATGTTTTTTAAAGTTGTTGTAGGTGACAGTGAATTTCAGAGTGGTGCGACTTTGAACTCTGACCTTGAAGATGCCATTGTCTTATATGCATTTTTAAAAGGGTATGGATCGTGACTTGTTGACCGAAGCATACAAAGTCGCGAGAAAAGAGTACTCAATTTTCGAAAAAATTATAAAAGAAATGTCGGATTGGTTAAAGATGACGGCAGAACATATTCCGTTTGTGTATAAGATCTTGGATTTTTTCACAGCTCCGAATTGCAAAAAATATATGGACGAGAGGATAGATTTGCAGGACCTCATTCTTGATTCACGTGTCACAGATATTGAGAGATTTAACGACCATTTTAAGATGATTAGTAAGGGATTTGTTATGGAGATAGACACTATCCCGACGTTGGTTGATGTTTTTAAATCCATAGTTAACGGTGATGATTCTGCATATTACCAGAGATTATCAGCGAAATATTCGGACAAGGAGTTACAGGAGTTTTTTGGTAGACATAGTGTACTTTCTACGTTAGAATCATACAATAAGGCTTTAGATCAGACCACACGTAAGTACGACATTGAAAGAAAAAATAGGGAAGATGAATTAGAACGTAAGAGGAAGGAAATCGAGACTTTAAAGGATGAGGAACATAATAGTGAAGGGGAATCGATGACAGCTGGTCTTTCGGTTGTTCAGAAGACAAAAGGAGAGCATGAGTGCGATATTGGTGAAGTTATAAATCTTACGGAATCAGTCTTCGGTGCACATAATGCGTACACTGTCCAACATTTACAGCAAGATTCGGATAAAAGAATGGATGACCTGACAGCAGCAGCTTTCAAATACAATTGTTCTAGACTCGAAGGAAAAACGGTTAAACAACTTTCCGACGCTCAGATTAAGAATTTGATCAAAAGGTTGACAAAACAAGGAAAAGTTGCCAACACGACTGTTACGGTTGCAGAAGCTATTGAAGCTATGCATTTGTTAAAAATGACATACTCGAGGGAATTGCCTATGCAATCGAGTAAAGTGCTCTTCGATCTGAAGAAGGCTATATTCGAGTCTATCAAAACTATCGCAGCGTCAGAAACCGTAAATAATATCACGGAAAAGAAGGTTGAAGTTATAAAAGGGCTTGCTGGGGCAGGAAAGACGTTTTATGTATGTGATAAGTTTGAACCTTCGGAAGACGCATACATATCACCGATGGCAGACGTTTTGTATGAGACTGAACGTGAGTTGAAGAAAAAACATGGACCTTCGAAAAATTTAGTTTAAAGACTTTCGAAAAAATACAAGAAATAAATGTATCATCTGAAGGGGTCCTTTACATTGATGAAGCAGGAGCGTTTAATAAACAGTACCTTATATTTATCATGTTGATGTTCAATGTCAGGAAGTTCGTATTCCTTGGCGATGACGAACAAACAAAGTACTTTGATCCGTTCGGTGATCTAGGTACCGACGATTTTTGTTCGCTTGTCGACTATAAAGATATTACGGTCATGTACTTTTCGTTCAGATTCGGTCCGACAGTGGCTGCACATTTGAACACGGCGTTCAATTACCCTGTGTTTTCGTTAAAAAATACAGATACAAAATTATTTACCATGGAATCTCAGATCACACACCTGCGGAAGGCGGTACAAATCTCACGGTGACCGAGAAAACACAAACTTTCTTTAGGGAAAGGAATATATCAAATATTAAGACGGTTAAGAGTGCACAGGGTCAGAATTGCGACCGTGTGAATCTTTTGTACTTTCAAAGAGATGTCGACGCGGCTGTCCAGTATAGGTCGAACGGTATTGTAGGAGCGTCGCGTGCGAAGGAGGAATTGCATATATATATCGATAGAGTTTCGAAAGCGTCGAAGTATGTAAAAAATCTGACCGCTATGGTGGATAACTATTCAACGATGTTTAACGTAGTTGTACCCAACGAATCGGATTTTTGTTAAACCCTCGTTTTACCACTGATTTCGTCAAAGCTAGATGTAAAGATTTTGGGAGGACACCTATTAATTGCACAAACGAAGTCTTGAACATAATTAACAGAATTAAGAGAAATCAAGAGAAGTTCATATGTCGTATTTATTATATGACTTCTCAAAAATCAACATAGAAACAACTGTTACTTTAAAAACAATGGATCCATTGAACCCTACAGATCTTATACCTATCAACTTCGACTTACCTGTTGCAGGGAAGAAGTATGATCAGTTCTCTGTCCTTTCGACTGTGATGACGCAAATCTCGAGGTACGCAAAAACTCGGGATATGAGGGTATCGCGGGAATGGATCGCAATCGAAAATCATTTGTCAGAAAATTTTAAATCTTGTTGGTTCAAGAACAAAATTGTTCATATTGAGTCGTTGTAACCAGGAATGGAATCCGCTATTTCCATGAAGAAGAAACCAATGTAATCATTGAACAAGATTACATGCCAGATATTAACCAAGAACAACCAATGGAAGAAGTTAACATTATTCTGGCACCAACATTAACCAGATCAGAAGCAAGAATTTTGGATGGAATTAAGAAAGCAGTGGATGAATTTGAATGTGCATCCTGTTCACCAAGATTAATATTCAATGCTGATACCCTAGCTGATTATTTTGTCATGTTGGAAATAGAACACTATACTCAAAACATCATATACTTTGAAATTGAATGCATCTTAGTAGATTTGACAGCAGTATATCCAGCATCAAAATAATATGCTGAAGCACAAAGTATTGTGAAAAGATGCATTATCACCACCAATATCAAACAAAAAGTTTATATAGTGTTTAGAATTCACTTATATTTTTAACAAAATTCTGGATATATTTTATTGAAAAATTTGGATCAATATTTTAAGCCTAGCGCTATTGAAAGAATGACTGAATACAATAGTAATAGACTTAGAACCAGAATTAATTGGTTAATTGATTGTTTTACGGAGCAAAACACTAACAACACGGGTTCTGTCATGATATAACATTTGACGAACAATCTTATTGAATAAGAAATATATTAATTATTATTGGATCATATTTATTAGTATTTCTATTGGATAGTTATTTTTAGATAGTTATTATTTTATTGAACAATTATATATTAGATATTA